GTGAGTCAGATGCCATAGCTCTCCTCTCTAAGATGGACACAGATTAGAATCTTCCTGGTAAGCCACCACCTCGTGGTGCTACACACATTAATAGAAATAGGTTAATCAGGATGTGAGAGTTAGCCAGTAGGAGGCTAGAGCTAATGGGCCAAGCAGTGTTTAAATGAATACAATTTTGTGTTGTTATTTCAGGGCATAAGCTAGCCAGGTGGCTGGGAGTCGGGTGGCAGGAATGCAGCCTGCAGCTCCTTCTACAATATGGCTACAAGCTTATGGGAGCCAGGAATGGAATGTCGTAGTTTGAATAGGAATGGCCTCTGTAGGCTTAAATGATTGAATGCTTGGTCATTAGGGAGTGCAGCTACATAAGAGGGAATAGGAGTTGGAGGGAGTGTGGAGTGGGCGTGGCCTTGTTATTGGAAGTGTGTCATTGGTGAGGGTGGGCTTTGAAGTTTGATTGCCAGGTCCAGTGGCAATCACTCCTCCTGAAGTCTGTGGATCCAGATGGAGAAGTCTCATCTTCTCCAGCATGTCAGTATATATGCTGCCATGCTCCCTGCCATGAAGAAAATGGACTAAACCTGTGAAGCTGCAAGCAAGCCCTAATCAAAGACTTTCTTTTATAAGAACTGCCATGGTCATGCTGTCTCTTCACAGCAATAGAACACTGCCTAGACATATTAGGTACTTGTTGCAATAAAAGATCATCAGAACAGCATTTTCCCACATCAGAATCTAGAGCCATATGCCTTTCTCTAACTATTGTCATTTAGTGTTTTTCTTTCCCATCTTCAATACACAGATATAGTCTTCTTAATATCAAGTAGCTGTTTCCAGAAGCCATAAGATATGTATAGTCATAAATATTACACAAGCTACAGTTGAGGCACCTAGATAAACAAAAGATGTTGATTTTAAAAGTATTACAACACACCATTCATGCTCCTCTGAAACCCCAATGAGGAAGAAAGCCTTATTGGGATTCTGTTAGGTGACAACTAAACTTTCCCATCATGGATCATGAATCCAATGTGTGCATCTCAGGATTAAATTTCGGGTTAATTGAGCTAATCACTGAAGGAAAACAACACCAACCTGCCTTAGCCTACGTGCCTCAGATTGGCAAAAGACTCCTGTGGGGCAGTCTGGGTCCTCATGATCCAGCCCACCTGAAGCATCCACAGGCCTGTCCAGGAGGGGCCATTATGATGAGCAAGCATGTGGTGGAGAAACGGGAGAGAAAGAGAGGCAGAATGGTTCATATGCTGTGGTAAGAGGCAGGTCTAAAGAAGCCAGGATTGTGAGAAATCGGCTGATGCTGATGGCCTGCTTGCCACTTGGGACCAGAGTGATGCCTGGGCCTGAGCTGCTGCCTACAGCCATATCTGGGTCTCTGACAGCCAAGGTCTATGCTGACATCCATGACCCATGTTGCCACACCAAGGCCACGGGGATGCCCCAGGATCTGGGCCACCACCTGGATCATTTTGGGGTCATGATACTACTGGGGCCATCTTGATCTGAGTGGTCTGTGTTGCCACTGTGAGGGGGCACAGGATGACATGGGTTGATATACATGCCTCTGGCTCCTGATCCCACTGAAGGCCATGCAAATACTTGGGGTCTGGGCCGTTATCTGGGGCCATGCTGGTGTCCAAGGGCCATGCCAATCTGAGTGACCTACACTGCCACCTGAGGCCATGGTATCATCTGGGCCCAGGCTGCTGCCATGGGCCCATGGTCCAGCGGCAGCCAGGGTCTGGGTTGATGTCTATAGCTACTGTTGCCACGTGCGGCTGTGTGATGCCTGGGGTCTGGACAGCCACCTGAGATCATGCTGGTGTCTGAGGGCCTTGCTGCTGCTGGGGCCTTACTGATATGGGTGGCTTGTGCTGGCACTGGAGCCATGGTGACACCCGGGCCAAAGGTCCCGGATATATGGGTCCATGTTCTTGCTGAAGGTGGGATCTGTGATGATGTTCATGGCCCATGTTACCACCGGGGTTAATAAGAACCATTCCTGTTGAAATCTGAGAGGCCTGCTGAGCTGGTTCAGTCTCTCACAGGCCCTGTCCCTCCCTAGACCCTGCAGCAGGAGAGCTGCCTTCCCCCAACCCCAGAGCTGGCCCACGGCACTACACTTGGGAGAGTCAGATGGCCCCACCCTTCACCAAAGGCATGGATCTTGAAGGGGTGGCTCTGCCCCTCACCTGAGGGAGGCACTCTCAGTGGTGTGACTGACCAGATCAGCTACCACCCAGACCCACATCCTGGGCCTTGGGTCGCCCCCCCCCAAGCATCTACCCCATCTGTGACCTGCTGGAGTACACAAAGGAAGCTGGTCCTGCAGGGCAATAACAACAGGATCTCCATGACTCAGGGCAAGAACAGGATATCCAAGAGGAGTTTTGGTGAGGGTCCAGTGATGATGGTTTTCCAGGGACCTGGAACCAGACCAATGACTCATTGCAATGCACATTTTGTGGGTGGGGCTGACTGAAGAAAAGGGTGTACTGCGTGGCATGTCACAGCTCCCAATGCCACTAGGATGAAGGAAGAGGGGTTGGAAAGACAGAGGAGCAAGGTGAAGATTTTGTTGTTTTGTTTTTAATTTGGAGGGGTCTTGCTGCAGGGGTGGGGGATGCATATGGAGGGACTGGGAGGTGAGTGGGATTGGGATGCATGATGTGAAATTCTCAAAGGATCAATAAAGAAGTATGTTTTCAAAAATCTACAGATGGAAGACTTTGTATGCTTACCATAACACTTCATCTGAGAAAGCTATTGAATGGGTTTTCTCCAAAATACTCATTGCCATGACAAAAACAATTATGTGCAAACTTCAAGGCCTCTAATTAGCAGTTAAGAGTCTATACAAAGAGATGTCACTACCTGACTAAATGTTTGAGAGATGGAATTCCCAGAGTTTATTACACAAAAGAGTAATAACACAGGCTCCTTTTCCTTGTGTGTCAGCTTCATTTCTTTGTTCTGGGCCTCACCTTCCCACAGCCCAGGTGTCTAAGGGATCTATTCAACAAGTTCCTCAAAGACACATTGAAGAGTCACAAGTTTTTAGCCTCACCTCTATAAATAACATGGAATGCTTTTATGCAGATTTCAGGCCTTCATTTCTATCCAAGATTTTTTTTATTAATTTTATTCCCAACCTGCATGTTAACAATATCATTTTGTGTATCCAACTACCCACTTTAACGAAGGTGTCTTTTCTTGTGATGTCATACACTAATATACCACCTTGTGTACCACTATAATAGCCGGGAGTCAATGTTCTAAAACTCTAGTGGCTAGCAGTTTCCCATGTTGTAAATTTAGCCTTATTTCTATCTACTGAAATGGTCTTTAAGGTCAACACCTATTGTTGCTACAGGTTCTGGATCAGAAGTATCATCTGTGAGGTTCAGTACCAGGCTGGATTTGCCCACCCAACTCTTGCCAATGGTGAGGGTCTTCAGCGTGATCAGTGTTCAATGTGCACTCATTCCAGTCTGACCCCAGCTAGGCTCCTGTGCTCAGCCCTTCATGAGGATGGTCCATGCCTGCACTGATGCTTTCTTTTTTAGATTTAAATTGGTTCAGAGCAATCTACTCACTTTTCTCTATTTGTATTTGTATGTATTTCAATTAAAATGGAAGGGACAAAAAGAGAGCATGATACTTTCACTAATTATACATCTAGTTTATTTTCAATTCACACTTGATGAAAATGTTGGGATTTAGTTTGGGGCTCCTTTTTTTTTTTTTTTACTTTTTAGACAGTGTCTCCCTGTGGAATTAGTCTGGTTCAAAGTGATGGTCCTCATGCCTCAGTTTCACAAGTGCTGGGAATGCACTATATATGAACAGGTCTGGCTTGTTTATTTCATAGACAAAAATCCTAACGTATTATCATATACAACATTTTACTTTGAGGTATGTATACATTGTGGAATGGTTAAATTCAGTTAGTCTTCAAAAACTTGTCTTTTTCTGATTAGAACCAGACATAGATCTCATTCTTTTTTAGCATTTTTCGAGTATACAATATTATTATTAGCTATAGTTACCATGAGGAACAACTGATCCCTTGAACTTATTTTTCCTATCTAACCAAATATTTATAACTTTTGACCAAGTACTTGTAGCCATCCTTCAACTCCTTCTGTGAATTTAGCTCTATTACATTCTACATAAGAGTGGGAGCATACATTATCCATCTTCCTTTGCCTGCTTGTTTCCTCCAGGTTCACACATAATATCCTCCAGCCTCAGCCACATTGTCTCAAATGGAAGGATTCTTTCTTCACACAATAGTGAAGAGAATTTCTCTGTTCATGAGTTGTTAGACTGCATTTGTTTCTAAATCTGAACTTCACTGCGCAGTGCTGCACTGAGTATTGAAGTGCAGATATCTTTGTAGCATACTGCTTTCATTTCCTTTGGATATTGTTGTCTAGCAATTCCTCTGGGATTAAACTGCCCAACTTGAAGGAAAGCTCCTTAAGACATGGGAATTTTAAAGGAGGTGAAACAACTGGATGTTCTAAGGCGGGTATGGGAATCATCCTGTCCTTCAGCGAAGCTCCCAGAGCACAGGAAGAACACAATTTAGACGACCTGGAAAGTCCCTGATACTAAGCAGTCACTAGCTCTCAATCCCATTCCCAAGCATATACAAGCTGGAAGGACTACTGAGAGATACTCTCAGACCAGACAAGTCACTTAAAAGACACAGAGAAGTCGAGCTGCCTGGAAGAGGCAGACCAGCCACGGTGCTTGGAAGACTCAAAGAACAGCCAGATTGCTTTGAAGAGGGTCAGAGTACCTGAGCTGCCTGGAAAGGACTCTCTCCAATTTGTGCTGCCAGCAGCTGTGTACTGTGCTTCAGATTTCTTAATTTTGTAAGTCGCTATGTTGGATGGATTTTGGTGATACAGCTGTTTTCTGTAACCCCTCACCCACATTCTTGAAAGTAACCCCAATAAAATTAATTGGCTCACCAAGGTGGACTTTATATCCTTACTTTGATCTGTCGTCCGTTCCCATTTGTTCACATCTCCCCAGAAATCTGTCACACAACAGATACACCCACATGTGAGTTGTTGGATCATATTTTATCTTTCAAGTGATCTGTTTCATTTTCTATGTTATATTCACTTACTTCCTCAACAACCATGTAAAAAAAGCTTCCCTTTTCTTTATATCCTCATCAAGTCTAGTTATCTCTTCTCCCTCCTCCTTCCCCAACCCTTCTGTCTCTGTCTGCTCTCTCTCTCTCTCTCTCTCTCTCTCTCTCTCTCTCTCTCTCTCTCTCTCTCTCTCTCTCTCCCCCT